GGGGGACCTTTGCTTGCAATGTATGTTTTTGGTGTGGATTAACTGAGGAAAAAATTGCAAGACTCAGATTTTGGTGAGTTTATTACAGTTTTATGTTTGAATTACCAAGAATTTGGCATTATATAATAAAGGTTCTATATCAAAATTGGATGTTTTTGACATTCTGGCATTTTTTGTATGGAGGATAGGATAGATTTTGATAATATTGTGGAAAAAGAAGCTAAAATATGCATATCTAAACATGCACTGAATATATGTTTCTTCATGTTTCATTCTTTGGTTTCTAGATCCAGGACGCTCTCTGTTGTGCATTTGATGCTTGTAAAGTGGAGACATCAGCCAAAATTTTATATCAAGTGAAGTGACTCAAATACTGAGATTGAACAATGGGATCCAAGCACCCTGTCAGTTTACTAGATACTCTAAATATGGAGGCAGTTCGGACAATTTTCACTCACACGTATCCCTATCCCCACCAACATTCAAGGCATGCTGTTATTGCCGTCTTCATGGGCTGCCTATTTTTCGTATCATCTGACAATATGCACACTCTTGTTCAGAAGTTAGACAGCAATGTTAAATGGTGGTCCATGTATGCCTGCTTGCTCGGATTCTTCTATTTCTTTTCATCTCCATTTATAGGGAAAACAATCAAACCAAGCTATTCAAATTTTAGCCGCTGGTAGGTTTACATTTCTGCTAAAAGCGCTGTATCAATTATTGCTAAAGGACTACCAAGATTGAGCTAATGAACTATGCTAATTCAGGGGTTTTCATTTTGCAGGTACATAGCATGGATATTAGTGGCTGCTCTCTACCATCTTCCTAGTTTCCAATCTATGGGAGTAGATATGAGGATGAACCTCTCTTTGTTTTTGACAATTTATGTCTCTTCCATTTTATTTCTTCTCTTTTTCCATGTTATATTCTTCTGCCTCTGGTATGTTGGCCTTGTTGCTCGTGTGGCTGGAAAGAGACCGGAACTTCTAGCAATTCTTCAAAATTGTGCTGTAAGTCCCGAGAACACATCTTAACTGAAACGAAACATCCCCGGGTGGCCTTATTTTATGGCATCATTGTTGTGTAGGTTATAAGTGTAGCCTGTTGTGTATTTTATAGCCATTGCGGTAACCGTGCTATTATGAAAGAAAAGGCATTCGACCGAAGAAACTTGGGCTGGTTTACACTGTGGAACAAGGGAGAACGTGACTCGTGGCTTGCAAACTTTGTTCGCGTGAGTGAATTGAAGGATCAAGTTTGCTCGTCTTGGTTCGCTCCTGTTGGGTCTGCTAATGATTATCCATTTTTGTCCAAATGGGTCATTTATGGAGAAGTATGATTTCTGCTGTTATTATGTGATGTATTTGTTATTCCACATTGTAAATGATCTTATGATGCTGCGACTTTTGTGTCTTTCCAATTTTGTATTTCAGTTGACTTGTGGCGGCTCGTGTGCAGAATCTCCTGATGAAATTTCTCCCATATATTCCTTATGGGCAACTTTTATAGGACTGTACATTGCGAATTACGTTGTGGAAAGATCAACAGGGTGAGCATTCACACATGCCTTGTTCTTTAAGTTTATATATATCAGTTTGTATTTTGCTTCAATGTTTATATATTTCTTCAAAATTATACTGCTTTTGGGCTTATCTCATTGCAAAAATTAGTGGATCATCTACTTATTTTATTCTATATATTTCTATTTTTTCTGCTTCCTGTATTTAATGTTGAGGGACCGGTAATGCAAAGAATAGTCTATTTCTCTATATCTTTCTCTCTCTCACAAATTAATCTTTGACTATTATTATTTTTTGTGAAAATTTGAGAAACATATAGTCCCTAATATTGCAACCTGGAACGAATTTGTTAAAACTGCCCTCCTTCCTCATTTGTTAGGTCTCATTATCTTATCAATTTAGGTACTATTTATTAATATGCAACAATCAACAGGTGGGCTCTCACTCACCCTGTGTCACAAAAAGAATTTGTGAAGTTGAAGAAAAAGCAAATGAAGCCGGAATTTTTGGATATGGTTCCTTGGTACTCTGGGTATGCCCCATTAAATTAATCTACCGACCCACCCCCTCCTCCCCCTTTCCCTTTATAATGTTTCTGATCTTTCAATGCAGGACTTCTGCTGATTTATTCAAGACAGTTTTTGACCTACTGGTATCTGTAACTGTATTTGTTGGACGTTTTGATATGCGTATGATGCAGGTATATGTTTATTGCTGCAACTTGTGTTACTTAATCATTCATATTCTTTCCATCTTTTTCAACAGTGGCAAAAGCTCCTTTTCTTTATTATAAAATTTTCATATACGAAAATTAGATTGGAAATTTTGTTATTAGTCTCAAGACACTTGAGTTATGCTCTCGCTCTAATCTTGATCTTGTAGTACTAATATTTTCCTTTTGTTGGTAGATCTAGTAATGGATAAAAAAAAAAAAAACAATTGTGATTGTAAAATAAATTGTTATTGGGAATAAGGTTTAATTTATAGTCTTTGTACGGGTATTGTACTATTATTATTTTTTGAAAGAACTAATCTACTGAAAAAACCCCTCTTAAGGACGAATGTTGCTTTTTCATTGTGCAATAGTGCAATATGATCTTCATTTATTATACATTACTGTCCCAGTTACAATATATCTTATATTATCTCTTATTTTTTCAATTTTTAGGCAGCAATGAGCAGAGTTGAAGATGGAGCTAAGCATGAGGATCTTTTGTATGATCAATTTAGTGAAAAAGATGAACTCTGGTTCGATTTTATGGCTGATACTGGTGATGGTGGAAATTCTTCTTATAGTGTGGCACGGCTTCTTGCTCAGCCTTCAATTAGGGTCCGAAGTAATGATTCACTACTTACACTGCCACGTGGTAACCTGCTGCTTATTGGCGGTGATCTTGCGTAAGCAGAAAAATGATTTCTCCTCACTGCTAGTGTTTTACTTGGTGTTCAAATAATTGAATGTCCAAAAAACATATTTTTGCTAAGCCATAATAAAAATTATATATCTGTTTCTCTAGACAACACGGTCCCATTACCTGATGTGCTCTACTGGAAATCGAATAAGCAACCTGAAGGACTGTATTTGTCATATGTCCTTGTATTCTTATCTGGAACATAATTAGATCAGACTGGTTGTTCATTAACATTTAATAGGTAACAAAATTGTCAACATCATCCAGTATTTGGATTGATAAACATTAAGGGTCTGTTTGATTGCAAAGATTGAATTTGGGTGGAAGTAAAATAAATTTCGGGGAATTGAATTGCCTAGAAATTATTTTACTGGGAATTTTCAATTGATAGTGTTTGATTGGTATAATTTTTTAGGTGGAAAATGTTGAAATAAAAGTATCTTTTCGTGTTCGTTTGACTTTATTTTTCATAAAAATTGTCAATTTAAGGAATATCCACTTCTACCATTGTTCCTAGAATTTGTTTCCATTGCCAACCAAAAAAAAAAAAATCCAAAAATCATCTATATTTTGGTGTTCGTTTGGCTTTGTTTTACATGAAAATTGTCAATTTAAGGGTTATACTCTTTTACAATTGTTCATAGAATTTGTTCACATTGCCAACAATTAAAATAAAACAAAAAAAAATGGTGGAATTCCAAAAACCACATACCCCATGGGAAAATAAAAAAGTGGAATTTCATGCTTTACCGGCTTGTATCTAGAAAATCATGGAAAATCAATTCCCTGAAAAATTTTGTTAATCAAACAGGCTAAAAGTGGAAGTTGGAATTCGAATTTCAAGTTCCATGGAAAATATAGTATAATCAAACAGGGACTAATTGAATAGCAGTAATTCTTTCAACTAGCAACAGATTTTCCTTACATTGGTGTGTGATTTGGGCTTTTAAGTTAACCCCTCATTGAAGAATATTTACAGCAGTAATGCTCCATTGAATTTTCTAACCCTCAAGTCTGAAAGCGTGTGCAATATTATGAACAAGAAAAATTATTATCTCGTTCTCTCTCTTCTATTCCCCTTGATCCATCTCTTTCTTGCCTTTGAAAATTATCCGAAATCTTGCTTCCCCTGGATACAGCTCATCCAATATAACAGTTCTTGATATGGCACATAACCTGTTGAAAATTTAATTTTACTGTAATCCCCAGTTATTTGCATAATTTCCTGACAAGTCTCGTTTTCTTCTCTCCGTTTGGATTTGTGCACTTCATATTGTTGAACCACTTGATATAAAAGCTTAAATTGTTAGATAAGATCAAATGCATATCATTTAAAAATCATCTTCCACATGCCCCCTCATGTGTAGGCAGGATAACACATTGGCAAATTTATTAAGTGGATGGCAATGAGACTTTAATCCAGGACTTTTGCCAACTCTGCTACCACATTGAACCTCTTTATTTAAAAGCTTAAGTTGTTAAATAAGATCAAATGTATATCATTTAGATATTACCTACAATGCATATAGATTCATTTAGGTTATCAGATACTTTTTAGTCATCTAATGCATCAAATTTAACTCGGGACACATTGACTCCTCGTTTTAATCTTGGGATGCTCAAATATCAAGCTCATCTTAATGAGATTTCCTATAATATTGAATGTTAAAGATCATAGCTTTCTTTCCAATTCTTTACTGGATCTTTGAGCATTATGCGAATTGAACGACCCCTATATGAATCTGAGTTGTTAGAGATTAGTGAAATTTGTATTTTTATGACTTCAACAATTTGCACCCATTGCTTATACTAGAGGTAATAGAATATCTTGTTTGGACAACATGGCTTTATATTATTCCACATTTATACAGGTGTTCTGTCCTTGAAATTTAGGGCTCACGACATGAATAGTGCTATCTAAACAGTTGGATTTATAACTGGGCTAATACATAGTAGGTTGTGTACTGATTTCTAGTTTTTTTCAGGTATCCTAATCCATCAGCTTTTACATATGAGAGGCGACTTTTTCGTCCATTTGAATATGCTCTTCAGCCTCCATTCTATTACAAAGACGAGCACATAGCTGTGAATAAGCCAGAATTACCGTGTGGGGTGGCAGATCTAAAGCAGTATGATGGACCACAGTGTTTTGTTATCCCGGGAAACCATGGTTGGTTTTTTTTTCATTAGTCCGATTTTTTCTTAATGGCTTCCTTAATTTCTGCTGACAGTGGCAGTCCCTGTTTATTTAGTTTTAACTACCGATTGTTACATTGCATGTCACTTTCTGCATATATCCATTGCTTTTTGTTGCTATATAATTTATATCACACATTTACCATTTTACAGATTGGTTCGATGGGCTTCAGACTTTTATGAGGTTCATTTGTCACAAGAGCTGGTTGGGTGGGTGGTTTATGCCGCAAAAGAAAAGCTATTTTGCCCTTCAGCTTCCAAAAGGATGGTGGGTGTTTGGTCTTGATCTTGCTCTGCATTGTGATATTGATGTCTACCAATTCAAGTTCTTCTCACAATTAATAAAGGAAAAGGTAAGTGATGGAGATCTTAGTAGGTAGGTTTCTGTAATGTAAGGTTACATGCAATAATGAAATTTGGTTAAAAGAAAACCTTACTTTCAGAAGTAGAGTTGCCAAGATCTTTTAGGGTAGTATCGCTTGTGCTTCTCTACTCTTAAACTTCATTTTAGTTCGCTCATCCAGAACGGAAGGATGTCATTATTCAGAGTCCAAGGGCCAATTTGTGAAATTGTTTAGCAGAATTATTGTCTTCAAGTCCTTTTCATTGTGATGTACTTTATGCATGAATATCCATATTTTCTTGAACATATATATGTGTGTGTGTGTGTGTGTGTGTTTTCTCATATAGTTGAAGAGATTATAGAGGCTGAGGTATGTTGATGCAAGGTTTAAAGTTCGAATTCTAAAGCAAACTACTCATTCCATTCCAAGTTTTGTGGAAGAATGGATGGTTTGGCAATACTTTGCTGTTTCCTCATGTAAATGATTATTCAATTATTGGGGCACTCTTTCAAATTTGTGCTCATCAGTAATAGGCTAATAGCAAGAGCCGTGGAGCACGTACAATCATTATATCTAATTATGCAAATAGAAATCTGATTTATTATCTGTATTTGCTTGATAAAAATGATCAAGAAGCTTTAGACTGTGTGAAGCATTAATGTGCATCATAACTTTGGGTGCCAACCGTTATTCTGGATTTCAGGAATACACTTGCGAGTATTCTGAAGAAATCGATGAGTAGCTTGTGTTTAAAGCTAATATAAGCCTCCTGAAATTAATATTGAATATGAATATCAGAAATCCTGGATTTTCATGGTGTCGGGTTTATTATTCACATTGATTTTGTTTCTACATGGTGCTCCTTGACCAGATTTCTCTGATGTTTATTTTTCTTTTGGTTTCACTAGTATAATAATATGCTAAAAAGGATTAACCTTCCTGTTTTGGTACACTGTAATATTTGGGTTTACCTTGGGATGAAAATTTATGTTCTTTAAACACTCTTATCGTACAATTTCGGTGAATGTCCCACATTATGAAGGAGACACACTGTAAAAGTTTTGGCTTTTAACTTATGAATGATACTTTCAAATGATTTTTTGTTAATATTTAGTGCAATAGGCCAAACTTTCTGACATTCAAGGGGCTTATCTTGTTTATATCTCTTACTTATATTAGAGGGTGCTTATGTTTCCATGCCCAAGATGATGTGTTCAGAAATGAAGTCTCTACACATGGTGCTTTGACTCACTAATGGGATCTAGCCCCTTCGGTTTTCTTTTGTGACATATTCTTAGTTGCAACAAACGAAATAGAAATGATTCAATAATATTACTCTCTGAATCTTCTAATTAGCCTTGTTTTGTTAGTTGATATATTTATTAGCATATACCTTCTCTTGCTTTTCGCACAGCATGCCCCAGGTGGAGGCTCCCATGACCAGCTATTAGCTTAGTGTTAGATCACAGACAACACTTGTCGTGTAGTTTTGCCCTTTGTTTCTTCCTTTTCTCCACTGCTCTTTTTTTCTTTTTTAGGTAATCTTGCATTAACAGAATGTTTTCTTAAGCTTAAATGCTTACTAATAAATAAATTAGTAAATATTAAAATAAATAATTTTTCTAAGTGGTCAAAGTTGTAAAAGATTATGCTACTTATTTTGACAGTGATGTAAAAGTTATTTTCAAAATATTTTTTTCTCTAAAAGTAAGAAAAATGTAATATAAACAATCAGGTTTGAAAGCAAAACTTTACTCAAAGCAACTACCTGCCTTTTACTCAATCTTGGGCTGATCTGCTCATATCTCTTATTTTTCTTTTCCAGGTTGGAGACAATGATTCTGTGATCATTATGACGCATGAACCTAACTGGCTTCTTGATTGGTACTGGAATGATGTGACTGGGAGAAATGTTTCGCACCTGATACGTGACCATTTAAGAGGGAGGTGCAAACTTCGAATGGCTGGGGACTTGCATCATTACATGCGCCATTCATATGTTCCATCAGATAAGCCAGTTGATGTGCAACACTTGCTTGTTAATGGTTGTGGTGGTGCTTTTTTACACCCAACTCACGTCTTTAGCGATTTCAATAATTTTTGTGGCACATCTTACGAAAGAAAAGCTTCTTATCCTTCTTTTGAAGACTCAAGCAGGGTATGGAAATTAAACCATTCTGTGAGATCTATTCTTTCTGAAATGGGGATTCTTTCTTAATTTGGATGTGTATTATACCTCACACTATCACAATTTACGCTCAATACATTTGTAGAGTGAATGAGAAAGTTAAGGAATTTGGTACTGCTAATGATAAAGGGATAGAATAAATATTTGGAGAGTCAAATAAGCTTTTTGTGGATAGAGGAACTTTTACCCTCGCGATTTTTAAGTCGATGGATTTTCCTTTTACTATAAATTTCATTGTTGCCGGTATTGACTTGTAGAATGGGACTCTTATCTTTATTCTCGTCCAATTGATCAGTTCTTTTTAGTGATTTATTAGAGTGTGGAATGAATGATTTGATCAATGGATATTTGATTCATAGTTGATGCCATGTGTTGATAATTTGATGCAGATTGCTCTAGGAAATATATTGAAATTCAGGAAGAAAAATTGGCAGTTTGATTTCATTGGTGGCATTATATATTTTATGTTGGCATTTTCAATGTTCCCTCAGGTAAGAGTTATGCTACGCTTTTGCCATAGATTACTTTTGATTTGGAGCATGTTTGGTGAAGTTTATAAAAAAATAAAAGTTATATTTAAGTATCATTTTTTTTTTCTAAACATATTTTACATGTTTCTTTTTCGTTTACTATTAAGTAAAAAAGCTTAGTTATTATATAATTTCTACTTTAATGTCAAAATAAGCTCCTATTTGTCTCTCTTTAAATCAAAACTCTTTAATTCTCATACTCATTTTTCAACCACATTCATACAATAAAATATTTTGCACGTGAACCCAAAACTTTTCCCTACTTTCTAATCACGCATTCTCCAAAAAATCATTATTCAAAACATCATTTTTAAAAAATGATGGCCATCAAACAAGGGCTAAGTAACTTTTTTTCAACCTTGACCAATAAATGTTTTCTTATAAGAACTCACAAGTTTTTAAGCTAGGCAAATATGTTGCGAAGAAACAAGATTGAGTTATCCTAACTACATTTCATCAAGAGCATAAACGAAAGTCCGGCAAATTATATCTGATAAGTTTCCCTCCTTTTGTAGTGTAAGCTAGATCACATCTTGGAGGACAACACATTTTCTCATCAGTTGAAGAGCTTCTTTGGTACTGTGTGGAATGCATTTATTTCTATGATCGGAGGCTCGTATGTATCCTTAGCGGGTGCTGTATTATTGTTAGTAACTACTATTACATTTGTACCCTCAAAAGTTTCTCGGAAAAGGAGGGTTATAATTGGGATTCTCCATGTTTCTGCACACTTGGCTGCTTCCTTGATTCTCATGTTGCTTTTGGAATTGGGAGTTGAGACATGTATCAAGCATAAATTGCTAGCAACTTCGGGTGAGAATGTGTTTCCTTTGATCAGTAAGTTATAATTATTTGTTCTGCTAACTTCTGAAGCTGCATGAATATTATCAACCCCCATCTTTATCCATTCTGCTAAAGGGGTCATTTTTTGATATATTGAAATACAATTACATAATGTGTTTTGTCTATGAATATATAATATATTTCACATTCCCAGATAACATGGCCAAATTTTTTTCGTGGTTATTTGATCGTACTGTTAGAATAGACTGCAAAGATTTTGAATTGCAGCCTTAGTAATTTTAAGTTTCATCTCAGGATATCATACTTTATATGAATGGTACCAGTCAGTACAGAGTGAGCATTTCCCTGACCCAACCGGCCTTCGAGCACGCATAGAGCAATGGACATTTGGTCTTTATCCTGCATGCATCAAGTATCTCATGTCCTCTTTCGATGTTCCTGAGGTGAGAATGTTTTCTTCATAGGAATAGTTCAATGATAGTTCTTTTCAATACCTTGGTTTCCATGTGTTCCTCTCACCTTCGTTCATATGATTTATGGATTAAACACACTGTCAATCAACGTTATTTTGTTGCGGGTTATTTCTGAACTCAAACTTTGTTACAATGTGATCATTGTCCGTTATGGAAAAGGTGACGTGGCAATCTAGTTATTTGCCAACTTGAGTGCCTAACCATCTTTTCTATTGGTCAAACTAACGGAATCTGTACAAAATGACCAATTGTAGAAAATTTTATTTTCCATTTATTTGACTAAAAAGGTGACATGGAAGTCTAGTTATTTCCCAACTTGACTACTAAATCAACTTTTCCATGAAGTTTACTGACATGAAATCTTGCTTAAGTTACAAGAGACTAGTATATTCAACCCTATGATTTACAGGTAATGGCTGTCACCAGGAGTAATATCTGCAAAAATGGGATGGACTCACTTTCCCGAGGAGGTGCTGTGATATATTATGCTTCCGTCTTCCTCTATTTCTGGGTTTTCTCAACTCCTATTGTGTCACTGGTTTTCGGAAGCTACCTGTATGTCTGCATTAATTGGCTTCATTTACATTTTGACGAGGCATTTTCATCACTTCGCATTGCGAACTACAAGTCATTCACACGATTCCATATTGACCACAAAGGCGATCTTGGAGTTTTCACTCTTGCAATAGATAAGGTAAAACAATATACGGTTCATGAATTTATGTATATGAACTTGAGTCATCTTTTGAACAGATTGCCAGGCCTAGTGTTACTGGCGTGCTTTTATTTGGCATTACTAGTCATATTTTCCCTTTGAGTCTCCATTTAGAAGTGGAAATAAAGCATTAAGGGCGCACTTGGTACTCAGGATTGGGCAGGATTGAACAAAAATGTTCAATATTTTAGCTTCATTATTTCCCTTCATCCTGTCGACTATTATCTAGTCCATCTTTACGTCACAAGTGAATCTTGAAATGTTTCTATTGGGGAACAGATAGCCTATAATTTCCTGGTTTGAGAACTGTGAGGCCTACTCGTAGTAGGCATGAGTAAAAATTAGTACCTTAACTCTATTGGATGTTTAGACCATTTCCTTGAATACTCTTTAAAAGGTCGTCTTGCTGAAAGTGTCAAGATCTTCCATTTTTCTCACCTTGTTTTGTTTGGTATTTTGAAAAAATCCTGGCTGTTTCAAACAAAAAACCATGAAATATCCTGGAAACAAGTAGGGATATAGCTTAAAACCAAATATTAAAAAACCAGGATGAAACCTGGTAGTTTTCCAGTTGCCTGAAAACAAAAAGAACTTTTTGTTGAGCCATTGAGCCTGGACATATCTCATGCTTTGTTATGTATATTCTTCGGTTCAACCCCAGTTGGAACCTTGACCCGATAAGGTGAATGCCCTGGCCTGGTTTTAAAACATTGGTTTTTGTCATTACTCACCTTTCCAACCTCTCACGTGGATTTTGAGTCTCGTTATAAATGTGTCTATGCAGGTTCCAAAGGAATGGAAGCTGGATCCAAGTTGGGAAGGGGAATCAAAACAGCCACAGCACCCTAGCTACCTCAGAAAGTTTCCTAGCAAATGGGGATCCGTTTCTTCTCAGCAGGACCCTGTAAGAACTGTGAGGATTATTGACCATTTTGTTATAGAACGAACACAAAACCCTGAAACGACATGAATTAACTGATCAACAATTCATTGATCAGTATTTTGATTTGTAACCATAGTGTAAGTGATGTTCTTTAGAAGTAGTTAGGAAAATGCAAAAAATTAGGTGGGAGAGAATATATATATAACAAAGCAATTCTTCAAGCACATCTTCCAAGATCTCAAGGCTCATTTTGATGGTGCACATGTTGGAACCGATGAGTGATCTGAGCGACCCTCAACGCATGATACTATAATTTTCTTTGTAATTTCTGTTTGTTTCATTGTTGTTATCAATTATAAATTTAGTGGCAAAATACATTGCTTTCTAACTGGATATTTCTCAAACTTATTTCTTTTTCCTCCTCTTATTTGCATCAGCTGATTCCAAGCGAAATACTGATAGTCATGTTTCTTTTCATTTACAGAACTTGATTATGATTCAGGAATCTCTTTACTGGTTTATTTATAATACTGAAACCTTATACCTTAAAGAACAGCATGTCTCGGTTCTTCAGTTGATTTTGTTAGCACTGTAGCATGTTTAGTTTGTAGTATTAGATAAGAACGGACAAGATTTCAAGCGTTCTTTACTTAGTATAGCATTACAGAAAAACGGCCTGACCATAAATATGCAACTTAAAAAGGAGCTGTTATATTTTGTAAAATGTGCAAAGCAAAAGAAGCAATTCAAATAATAGCTTCTTCAGTTGATTTTGCTTAGCACTGTAGCATGTTTAGTTTGTAGTATTAGATAAAAATGGACAAGATTTCAAGTGTTCTTTACTTAGTATAGCATTACGGAAAAACGGCCTGACCATAACTATGCAACTTAAAAAGGAACTGTTATATTTTGTAAAATGTGCAAAGCAAAAGAAGCAATTCAAATAATAGCACCACAGGCCATAACAATAGAGAAATACACAGTACAAACTTTAATCAAAATCTCCCGTCATTTTTTCAATTATCTGTTATATTCCAGGAAATCATGGATAATCCTATATCACCTTATCAGACCAAAATTGCAGATTAAGGGGGGGAAATGATTATCAATTACTCAACGCAGTTTGCAGCTTACTATCAGCATTAATCAACAACCGGACTTTAAGCGAGCATGAACCACAAGGAAGAACAACGGATACTGGTGGTAGAGATTTTGGCGTTTGCAAAAAAAATTCACTCCCATTTTTCATCAATGGATATCCCATATCTGCCAACTCTGACGAATCGATTATGAAGTAATCACCACATCTGCAGTCATACAAAAGCTCGAAAACATCGCCAGCATCTTCAATTGACAGATCCTCTAATCTGATATCTTCAGCAGTTGCAGAATCCTGCCGCATAGATTGCAGATCGTTATCATAGAGTGCACGAGATTTCGAATCTCCAAGGATTTCCCAAGCCCTCTGTACCTCCAAAAACCTACAGCCCGACTCGTTTGCTTTTGATGTTTCACATGTTATTTGCATTTTGTCTGGATGGAAATTCAGAATGGCAGTTCGGTAGCATGCGCGAATTTCTTCAAAGCTAGCATCTTCCTTCACATCGAGGATCTCATAATGAGTTTTGTGGGTTAAATTTCCACTATGGATCATGATTGAAAACTGCACACTTCAAAAGATTCACCAAATGTATATCAGACTACAAGTATGGCTGCGCTTAAATTGTTTATAATAGGTAAATAAGTAAGTTCTAAAAGAAATAATCTTTTTATTGATCAAAGATGGTAATACATTATTTGTATGGAACTAAGATAAGAGTAAATTTGAGAAAAAAATAACTTTTTATTAATGGTAACTGTTTTGTAAGCTTAGCCTAACATGTTCTAAGAAAAACTAAATGCAAAGTTGAAGATCAAATAGGGAGAAAAACGCTACATCAAATATTCTTAGAAGTCTATAATGCTTGGACTTGGTTACAGGTACGGGCACGTATTTAAGTGTCGAATCTTTTATTTTCTAAAATGTTGAATACAAGAACATGACTAAAAAAAGTCTATTCGGACACGAATACACGGGTACCTTGTTCAAACTTCAATTTTTATCCTAACCTAAGATTTCATTTCGAATAGACCGAAATTAATTGTTTACAACGAAAGATATGGGTATTTAATAAGGGGTTAAGACGAATAAAATAGAATTTTGAGATTTAATGTTCAATTATGGGAAGTTAATTACTTAATGTTATATAAAATATAAAATGAAGGACTTAGTTGCAATATGGACTTAGTGGAGCACTAAGTACCACTTTATGGAATTCATTTTCATTTTATACAAACAAAAGCTGGGAACCACCGATACAAAAAGCGGAAATGGGAAAGAAGAAGAGGGAAAGAAAAAAGAAAGGGAAAACCTAGTGTCGCCGCCTTTCTCCACCCTCTCAGCTGTGTCGCTAGGTCTACAGAGAGCATATCAGGAATAAAAAAGGGTGCCGGGGGGGGGGGGGAAGAAGCAGCAGAAACGGTGCTAGGTTTCCATTGCCGTAACCTGTTGAAACTTGAAGAATTCGGCACATATCCTATACCCGTAGCCATTTCTACGAGTCCAAGCATCACAAATAAAAATAATTCCCAAATTCTGCAATTAGCCCTTGTTTGGCTACTGTTATAAAATTGTCAGATCGTTTTTTATCAACATATCTTGTGGAATCCACAAGTATTAACTACTTACCTCAACTCACTTCTATCTATTTATAGTCAAATCGTTTATAAACAACTATTAAACATGATTTAGTGCAAACCAAAAGTTATACCACCATGGATATTAGATTTTTCTTCTTGTTCTATGCAAAGGACACATTTTTGAATCCAATTACACAATCTTCATCTCCCGGTTGTACATCTACTAAGATTTATCTGTTATGTGCATCTTTAAATGACTTGAAAATAAGAGCTAGAGGCTTAATTCATGAAAAAAATATCTACTCTTTGGTCCTAAAGAATGTACTTCTGTAAAGTGATGACCAACATATAAGCATAATCATCACATTATGCAACAAAATAGAAGCATAAAACAAAAGTTTACCATGTTCGCAAATCCAGTCCCAAAAGCAGCCCAATTATCATATTTTTTTGGTAGCCACTAGTTTTTCTCCTCGTTTTAACTTGAGCCATCAGAATCAAACAGGAAAGTCAGCTTGTTACCCAAATTAATGTGACTCTCAAGTTATTCATAATGAGTTGGCAGCTTTAGTCTTCGGAGTCACTCTGACTAAAGGGCTTAAGTTCAGTCTGTAACAATATTTTGAAATTAAGATCAACAGTTCCAATGAAACTGGAAACAAGCCAAAGAAACAACAGATCTCCTCAAAGTTGGCTTTCATTTAATTCCTTAAGAAAGTAATTTCTAAAATCATACAATGGGCCAATATGGAATCAAGTTTGCAACAATTTGTAACCAATAGGCTAACAAACTACTAAGTTTTTTCAAGTGTTAATAGAAGAACAAGAAACTTTAAGATCTGTATAAGCAAGCATCTCATTTTCCAATATCAAGACATCTCAGATTTTTATCTGCTTTTGTTCTCATCATTTTAACATTTTCAATAGCTTTAGCCAAGTAACTCATGGCTCCCTCTTCAAATCTTGGCTTTCATTTTCCTTTTGATGGACCTAGATGAGGAGGTACATGTCAAATATCGGCTTGGGATCATGCTAAGTTATATGCATTAGGGGAAACGAATCAAAGCATTACAATAAGCTATCATCAAAACATTTTCATTTTAAAGAAATAAATAGCATCCATCTGCGGTTAGTGACATTACCAAGCAGGCTCATAACACAATTATTATACACAAGAAAAGTAAACACTCTTCTTTTATATTTTATAATTTTCATTGTTAAATAACTTTACGCCATTTAGAATGACAGTGAAACCATGTAACTTTGTGTAGAAACAGACGATCGGATAAGCAACCAGGACCCCCATTCCCACTCAATTTTAACTTCATTTGAGGGTGCGTTTATCAATAAGATGTGAAGAAACAACTTAAGTAACAATCCAATCCATAATACTACTAGAAGCTTCCACCATTCCAATAAGGTGAAGACTAACCAAAATTACCCCGTCGATTATAGTAAATATATGCAATATCAATCCGCCAAATTATAATTGAGCCCAAACAATTAAAAGGTCGGATAAAAAAATTATTGGACAAACCTTTTGGAATGACCCCTGGAATACACATTATAACAAATTGCACAACCACGAAAGTGTTCATATTCGATGAATTCTGATTTCTCAACATCCAAAACTTCTATGCCATAAACCAGATAGCCAAAGAAGAAAAAACTCAAAAAAGTTCTAAACGTTTACACAACTTAAAGGTGCCAGAGTTCATAAATTTTCTACTAATCTTTTTATAGAATTGAAATTAGAGATAGAATAAAGGGTTGCCCGCAAAACGTAGAACAAAATAAAGAAGATCACTGTGACTTTCACAGAAGCATAAATAGGGAAATCAAGAACAATTGAATTTCAAAAATAAAAATGGAAAAAAAAAATCAGAAACCGACCTTCAATTAACCTTCTGCGTTTTGCGAGAGCCAGCAGACCCTTTTTTTCTCTGAAATCGAGCAAGGATAGGTCAGGTTTGTCTCTGGTTCCTTCTTCTACATTACAAAACTGAAAATTGAGTCCGGTATTATTGATTAAAAATTCGAATTATATGAAATTTTCTCTAAATCACTTTTGGTACTTGAGTCCCTTTCATTTCTTTATTGACAATCAGGTCCCCAAACTTAGATAATCACATGCCATGCACAGGATGTCTTCTTTCAAGGGCTATTTTAGTCAATCAATTTTATTTCTTAAAAATAATTAAAAATAAAGAAAGAAAAGTCAAAATGAAATAATCCTTCTTTTCTCCAATGTGTTGTAAAAAAATTATTATTAGAACTTAAATGGTTAATATAATTCTCTAATACATTTCAAATTCAAAAAAAAAAAAAA